ATTCCAGTGGCCCTAATAATACAGTAGGTATGATGAGAGCAGCTTAAAATGCAATTTTATAAAAGGCAAAAATACCAAATTTAAGTCCCCTGATGGTGAAGTATTTTTCATTGGTGGAAAAATTTATATTAAGTCCTCCAGAAATCTGTGAACTGATTGAAAAAATACTGAAGAGCTCTGGGCTCGTGAGCGATGGGCTACATTTGCCATTACTTTAGACGTAAGGGCAAATCTGAATTCTTTAATGACACTAAAAAGTTTAAAATGAATGGAAAAAATGGCAGGATTGGATTGCAGCTGCTTATTGCTAGGAAATTACCATTTTACAAACAAATTATTTATGTATTGAGGGATTTCCTGTTGGTGGCGGGATTTTCAGCATTTCTAAAGAGCAGCTTGTGTCATAGGCATTCTTCAGAGGGAGGCCTGGATGGAGGAGGGCAGAACTCTGGGAGGCCGACCTCAGAAGCAGTGCAGCTATAAATCAGCAGCCAGACAGATAAGAAGGTCTGAAAAAGAAAAGTGATAAAGCTATCCTAAAGCAACAAGGCTCATTCTAGCCTTTTCCTTCTTTTGCTTTCCTCAAGACTGGGAACTAAGGAGAAAAGAAGGGAAGGTGTGGAATTGGTAAGTCAGCTCTAGAATTAGAAGGGCAGCCATTATGGACCCCTGACTTCTGTCTTCTCAAAATCAAAAGACCTGGCACTTATTGTTTTACTTTTTTTTTTTCTTTTGGAAGACACATCAGATCATTTCGAATTCATGTAATGACAATTAGGGCTGTGCAAAGCTTCAGGCGGTGATTCGATTCAGAGGAGATTTGGCCTGATTCGGTGGCCAGATCTCTGAATCTGAATTGAATCAGGGGACCAATTAGAAGGTCCAAATTGATTCAAAGCTCTCCGAATCATCAGAAAAGATTTAAAGAGCTTTGATGATTTGGACAGTCCCCAGTGGGTGCAGCCGGACTCGGAGCTAGTAAGTAGGGGGTGGGGGAGGGGGGCTAGAGGAGGAGGAAGGGGACCATGGGGGGACCCCTGCAGCCCACATCCATTTCCTGCTCCCCCAGCCCTCCTGTAGCTGCCCCGCCCGCCCCAGCTCCTGGCCCTTTAAAGAAAAGCCCCGGTGCTCATGGGGTGCTGCTGAGCAGGAGGAGATCCCTGCTGCTTCCCACTGCCCCATGCTGTGTGGGGCCTCTGGATGCCCCAATGCCCTCCCCCCTCCCATTTCCCCAGCCACCCCCATGGCTACCTTGCCTGGCACAACTCCGGCCCCTTAAGGAAAAAAAAAGGTAGAAAAACCCCGGGACTCACCACTCTTGCAGCAGCCTTGGGGCTTTGTGGGGCTTGTGCAGAGCTGGGGTGGGCAGTGCAGCCATTGCCGGGCTGGGAGAGCAGGTGGGGGATGGGCCTGGATGATTCAGACATTCAGCCGAATCGATTTGGGACAGCGATTCAAATCACTGAATCGAATCACTGTCCCCCGAATCGGCCAAATCCAAAGCGAATACTATCCGCTTCGCACAGGCCTAATGACAATGTCTTCCTGCTCATTGGGCTGATAAAAAAAAATTGGTATTTCATGGAAGGTGTAATACATTGAGATTTAGAGCATTTTACTCCAACAATAGCATGGCTTCCTGGCTGGTGCCTGGTTTTGTTTCCTTTTCTCCCTCTCCCAGCTAGATTTTTCCCTGACATTTTCATTGTTCTCACTCTTGGTATTAGTAGAATAATTTGCTAGCTAACCTGCTCTGAGCTTGAAGATATTTATGTGCTTTGTGAAGTCTGATGGGGATCATTTCCCATGGCTCTGAAGTTGACTGAAATGTCTCTCTTAACCCTTGGAGGTATCTGATTAGCATCTGGAATTTGATCTGATGGGAATTGTTTTGACAAACGTAATTGTCTGACACAATATTTTCCCTATCCAAACATAGTTGATGAGGCAAAAGAACTTTTTGAAAGATACTTAACTTGTTTCATGGCGTGGATCCTTGGTGAAAAAACTGGTGTAATCCACAGTTGGAAGTATCTGAGCTTCAGCCTGGTGCAGGTCCCTGTGTCTGGGGCTCATTAGTCTAAGGCACACTTTCAATGTCTATTGGTGGGTTCGCAGAAGAGTGGAGGAGGATGACTTGTTTAGCTTGGCAAAATGGAGGCTGAGGGGAGGTCTGATTGCTCTCTAAAATTATATTGGGGAGGTCGGCACAAAGGTGGTAAAAGATAAACAAGTTAAAGGACAAAGTTGGCACAAAAAACCTCAAACCCCAAACGCGTATAAACTAGCTGTGAGGAAGTGTAGGTCAGAAATTAGAAGAAAGTTCCTAACAATTAGAACTGTGAGGTTTTCCATTAACTTTCCAATAAGAATAGTGAAAATGAAAAACCTAACTACTTTTTAAGAAGGAACTGGATAAATGTGCTTAAAAGCTGGGGTAGATCCAGTGGGGGCTGCAGTGGTACAGTTGCACTCCTCTTTGACTTTTGCTTAACCCGAACTTTAAAACTAACTGCTCAGGCAGGGAAGTGCTGATGGAGTCAATTGACTTCATGGCTCATTATTATATGCTTGAACCCTGCTAATCTCTCTCCACTCCACAGGTGTTAACGGACTTGTCTGCTTTTTAATGGTCTTGATATTCCACTAAGTAAGCTATCCTTTTTTCTGCAAACTCGGGTGTAGAAATACTAAGGTATACAAATGGCTGACAATGAAGTATTGGAGGCACTGTAAAGAGGCTCAAGAAGACTAGATTTTTGTTTCATAAATGTGAATGAGATGTATATTTAACTGCAGTGACTGCAGGACTAATGACACAGTATCACTTGACTATTTTGACTACTTTTTGCCTAGTTTCTTGTTGTTTTATTTTAACTTAATATATTATCTAGCAAAAGAGTGCACATTCCGATAGTTATAACTCAGATCTTAAACTGACCAATATAGCGATAGGCCCCGATGGTATTAGAAAAGTTTCCAGTTCCTTTTTAACTGGAGAAAAATGTGTCATGTTTATATTCTACATTTGCCCATGCTCCCTCCAGTTCTATGTTCCTATGACTGCAGCAGAATATCAGAAAGCTAATATATTTTCTTCAGTATCAGTTGTAGAGCAATATCTAGTCCTCCAGCTCATCTTTTTACACCTCTTGCAAAGCTTTAAAACTGTGCATGGTAGATTTATTGATCAGGAAAAGCTGAGAAATGCACTGAAGGCGATGCTGCTGTCTGATTCTCTTTGTTGTCTTGACTTAGAATCAGTGCCATAGCAAGGGGGGAGAGGGATAAGCGGCTCATTTTGGGGAGGGTGCAGGGATGGGGGGAGGGCAGCTCCCAGCACTGCGTGCACTCCCAGGCAAGCATGGGGGGGCATGTGCCCCCTGGATCTGTGTGTGGGGTGAGGGTGGGCTGCCACTGCAGGCATCAAACTTAGTTGCTATGGCACTGCTTAGAAGTTGCTGTTCTTCGGAGATGCCAAAATAACGTGGTAAAGAAAGCCCTTGATGAGTTGTACTGGTGATTTTACTGGTGACCTTGAAGAAGTTGAATGGTAGCTTGACTCTTTGGCATTTCAGGAACAGTGTGGCCACATCTGGAATCTGTAAGGATGTGGCATACTGGGCTAAGGAGATGGCACTAGGGAGCAAAAGGAGTCCTCTAAAGAGCTGATGGGAAAGTGCAACTTTCTTCAGTTGACCACTACCCTTTGAATGGTCCAATAAAAAAGTAAACGGACTCTGGAAATGGATTTCTGCTGAAGGATAGAGCTAAGCATGAAGATTAAGAAATGCCTGTTAAAAGAGGAGCAGTTCTAAAATGTGTTTGGACCTTTGAAATGCAAAAATGTAGAACTCTTGGTTCCAAAATGATACCTTTTATTAGACCAACTGAGAAATTGCAAAAAAAATCTTTTTCTGCAAGCTTTTGGGCTCATGCACCCTTCATCAGGCTCAGGGAAAGTTCAAGATGTTAAAAAGTCCCCATATGTTGGAAATAAACTTCATTTTTGCACAGAGGGAGCAGACGCTGGAAAACTATCCCTCTGGATCCATGAGAGTCTCATGAACTAAATTTTCCTCTGGACCTTTGATGCATTAAAGATGTACCTCTACTGCTCTGAATTAAATTCTCAGGTCTAGAAATCTAGATTTCCTCACTAGAGATTATTTTGACATTTGGATATAGAAAATATGCTCAGTAATGAATAACGTAATCCTAGGAATTTCTCCTAGGTGCAGCAATTTAGTAAAGGCAATTTATATGGTCACTGCCAATATAGGGTATTAGGATTTGAGTAGTCTACCTCCTACTTCATATGGGCGATTAGGCTGCACTCATTGTTGTAGTATCTGAGCACCATACAGCTATACAGTAAGTATCAAGACTAGCATCTGTTACATGTATAATCTCTTGTCCCTTCCTATGGGAGAAATTCCTGTTGTGGAGTGTGTTGTTTAGGTAGGAGGTCTTTGGTTGTATATGTGTTTGGTTGTATATGTACATGTTGCTAGGTGTTGGAGATTGCATGGTGAGGAGGGAATATACCTTGAGTTTGAAGTGGGAGGTGGTGAGATCTAGTTCTGGAGAGAATTTAGTCAACCGTTTCAGGCCAGACTCTAAGATACTCCTGCCTTTATGCCAGGGGATACAAATTGTTGGCCTTGAGCTCCATCCCAGAGCTTTGAGTGGTTTGATAGCTATCCTGGTCCCAGACCAAGAATGATAAGGATATGGATAAGGAGGAAAATTTACATAATTTGCATACATAATTAAGATACATTTTAGATAGGGTTTAGAAAGCAAATTGGAGAATAAATAATGGTTTAACTATATTTATATTAATTATTTTACACTATTAGGGTTGCTATAGTTTTTAATGTTTTAATGCATCTTTATTCCAGTGCAGAAAAATGTCAGGTAACGTGAATTTGTACACACATCTTTTCTTTCATTTAAAAACCAAATTAAACATGACTTTATTATTTTTATTTTTATAGCGTAAGATCCTAAGATGACTATTTGAACAACACATATTCTGCTTCTGTCTTACATCAAAATGTCCCTGTGTGCACCTTCTCTCAAGGAATTTTCTCAATTACTGCCAATCCAGGACATCGGATGTAGTAAAGCCGAAATTAAGAGCTCACCCTCTGGCATCAGCTCTCCAGTCCCCTATAGCTGCAATCAGTCTGCTTTGACAGTCGAACACAGTCCAGTTTACATTCCTTCGTCTTATATGGAAAACAGACATGAATATTCTGCAATGGCCTTCTATAGTCCTACTGCGATGAATTACAATATTCCTAGCAATTTCAGTGATTCAGAAAGTGCACCTGTAAGGCAAACAACGAGTCCAAGTATGCTGTGGTCTGCTTCTGGCCATATCTCGCCTTTGACATTACATTGCCAGTCATCACTTCTATATGCAGAGCAACCAAAGAGCCCATGGTGTGAAGCAAGGCCAGTGGAACATATGCTGCCTACGAGCAGGTAAATGTTTTTATCTTTTTTAAATCTTTATTGTAAACTATTCTCTAGGCTATTTTTCTTTGCTGTTCGTATATTTGATCTATGAGAAAATAAACCTGAAAGCACTATTGCTTTCTACACATACTTTCCAAAGTTTCTTACTTTTTTCAGATGGATTGGCTTAGAAATAACATCCAAAGCTGCTGGTGTGTAGGATTCTTTACTTGATGTATGACTTAAACTCAAGAATAAAATCATTCAAAAAGCCAGGGCTGTGTAGTCGCGCTTTGTGTATTAAAGGAAGATTTTCAGGGTGTGAAAAACCTTAAGAAAAATGCATCTAAGTTTCTGAAGGAGAGGTAGAGGCACCCTTCTGGTGGTGGTATTAATTCCATTTTATGGGCAGTATTTCTCCTGCT